TTGATTGTTTATACAAACCAATATCACAGCAACGCAGTAGGGAAGCAAATAAACGCTTGATTCCCTCTATGCACTGCAACATGATATTTCCTGCACATCAAAACGCTCCATACCTTTGAAGCAAAGAAACGGATCAGAAATTCTATAGACACAGACAATCTTATGATCTGAAGTATTGATGCAAAGGCAAATGTTAGAACAAACCTTTTAACCATTTCCTGATTCTAAATACTTCAGCACAGGTGTCAAGGGTTGCAAATGCTGAGGAATACAAAACTATATCTGTTTAAAAATAAAATCAGATTCGATCGGTGCCAGACATTGCAAAAGATGGTGTAGAAAGGAAATTTAAACTAAACATAATGAAAGAAATAATAGCCTAACGCTTTTGTCAGATTAATATCTTCCAGTCATTTTAAAATAATTTTGTTCCTTTTCCCTCCATGCGTAGGCAATAAGATCCAATATATTTTAAAATTCAATGAACTACACATGCAGCATATTTATGAAAACAGATGTAGACAAACAAAAATGGGACCTGTCAGAGAAAGTTATTTAATTTGAAGAGGAGATTATCCACAGCTGTGAAAAATCATAAAAAGTCTACCAACCGTTGCAGACATTAAAAGAGAAAGCAGACATTGAAATCAGTAACATGGAAAAATAGAACCATCCACCTGGCCGAAAAAAATAAATAAGGACCAACCACCAAAAGGAAATAAGATGTCAAAATGTCCTAACTGAATATCAGCAGCTAAATTCAACTGCAAACTTGGCCAGAAGTTAACCAATCAAAATGAAAAATCTTAGACAATATAGTGAGGGAAGAGAAAGACGGGTTGTAGACTCCCAACAAAGTTTTAGATCCCTCACATAATCACATCCAAGCCTTAGGCAAATAACCAACACCACTATGACATATGGACGCTTCCAGGCAGTGGGACTGGTTGCTTTGCTGGGGAGACTTTAATACAGTCACAATATAATGAACAATAAAGATTCAACCAATAAAGAAATGGAAAATTCACATCAGGAAGGCCTGAATGCCTCCGAAGATCAGTACTCAGACCACCAAGCCGACACCCTTATCTCACTGACAGACCACAAGTCACCAGAGACCTTATTGACACTCTACCAGCATTGTTACCAACCCAAGCAGGCCTTACTTAGGCATGGTAATGAACCACACTAGAACTTTGTGATTCACC